CCTTTTACCCCATTCACGGGAAAAAATTCTCTGTTTAGCTTCCTTAAGCCTGACGACATCTTTCCAAGTAAATGCCGATGCGACACCTCTACCAGTTCTTCGTGATGACATTAATAAACAGGAAGACGTGTTTATATTTACTGCTGGTACAACTACACAAAAGATACGCGATAGTTGAAAAATCTTAGAACCGAACATCGCCATATACACTGCAAATAACTACTCTCTAGAGGATACAATGAAAGTTACTGTAAAGACAAAAAGCACGAAAAAAATGTTCAACAATTTATTGACTTAAATGACCTTTACTATCACACAAATAATTAAACGTCTCCTTAAAGCCATACAGAATAAATTTTTTTGTCAATATAAAATACATTACTGCAAAAAGCACAAAAGTACTTGATACTTAACTCAAGAGTTAAAACATCAATATCTGAAATGTTGATGTGAGTGGTCTGTCAAAATAAGGAAATAAAAGCTCTAAGTACTCGTCCCCCCGCCTCCTAAACAATTCGAAATCTGAATAGCATTAGGAAAACGCCCACTGAAATTCTCGTCGTAGAATTAGTCTCAGCAGTTAACAAAGGACAATGAGTACACCACTCTTACAGGGAATTAACTACAACTGAATAACTGATTTCCCACAGCTCCAAACCTATTCCTCACCAAATTCTCATGTGACTAAACTACCAGCTCACTTAGCATCGCGCTCTTTTTTTAGAAGCAAAGATGTCTCTCTGTAATTGGAACATTCTCTACACTAATTGCTTCAGAGTGAGCTGAGAAATATCTTCACGGAGACTCGAACCTTCAACATAATTCCCGTAGTTGCATACTCAGAACTTACTGCGCCACCGGAAACAACACACTTTCCTTCTAAAACACACAAAGGTCGCTAAAGAGAAATATACGAAGCTTACTGCCCAATGCAAACGCAAAATGGGGACAGCCTACTACCATTGAAAAGTGTAAAAAAACTTCTTGACGCCCGCATAACACGAGCATTTTGTAAAAGTTTTATAATAAAATTGAAATACACTTAAAAGTACACCAAATATGATTCTCCACTACATATTACAGTACACCGAAATTTACATTCCTGACAAAGAAAAAGCCGCAATAAATACATGCTCCTTCCAACTTACAAACAACAAAAAATAGCATTCACAGAATCAAAACAATGACGAATAAACCTCACAGCGATTTCTAATATCTTGAACTAACGAACATTTATGTACTAACCACTGTTTGCCTCCCAGAAATCCCAATCAACATCACTAACACAGGGAGCAAAAGGGTTGTAAACTCATAATTTGAAGATTACTAACAAAATCTCGCAACATCCTCCGTCCCCTCTTTTCTGTGCTCCATTAGAAGAAAAAAAAAGGGAAAAAAGGCGAAAATAAACTCAAGCAACAACACACCCGGAAACTTAAACAGAAACTCCCTACAATTAATTGTTTTTAAAACTATTAGTTTTCAGAAAGTTCAACAGCTTCCAAAGCCTTCATCCTTTGTAAATATTTAGCTCTATTCAACTCGATTAGGTTCCACTTTCGACGGACAAAAAGATTTCGCCACTGAGACATGTCGTGAAGAAGATTACTTTCTTCCACACAGAAATTGATGTCTAAAGAATCCTTGAGAACTCCTGACGCTATCCGTCCGCACGTCACGTTACCGTCAAGAGTCCCGTCGAGATCGTTTCTACATGAAAGATTTAATATCAGAACAAAAAGAAAATCAAGCTGCACAACTCGTTTTCAAATACAATCATGTGCAAGCTCACAATAGTCGAAAGTATTAGAGAAAAATATGCTAAGATACTCTTTGTTTCATCACTTCCTCTCCATTCCTACCTTTCCTGAAAGACACTCGCTTTCAGATCTCATACATTTCAGTTCCTCTGGAATTAGTGGTAAGTAATTGAAACATCTCAGAATGACAAAAAACTATGTCTCTTCTAACACATTTTAGCAAGATAATATTCCCACCCATAAAATTACATTCTAATAAAGCATACCAAAAAACCTGTGAACACTAAATCATATCCCCGCAAAAAAAATAAATAAATAAATAAATAAGTCGTTTGCACTGTAAATAATCGACTGCAATTTCATCATGAACTTCCAGTCCTCCGCATCAGACTGCGAAAATAATAACCTGATAGTAATCAATGACACTGAAGGAAACGCTTGTTTAATCTTCATCGCTAAATTGTCTAACTGAACAGAAGTTGATATTGCATTACGTCTAGCAATATTACGAATAGAAACAGAATTATTTAACGCCATACTAGCGCGTTCTGCTAGTCTGCTCCTGCGGCTCTGCAAATGCCTCTTTGCCTCATCTACAGCATCATTGAAAGTTAAAGTTGTGGCTGCCACCCCTGCAAAAGTGCATCTGAAGAATTCAGATATTAATGAGCTGCGACTATGATGCTAATTCAGATGCAGCCCAGATATCGCTTTCAATATTACCAAGATTTGCAGCCATTGTATGGGCAACTCTTTTCGAAAAATCGTCAGCCGTCTCAGGACCTCCATTATCAGATTCAGTTTGACGATGCATTGACGGAAACCAGTAAACCTAATTCAATGTCAACTTTTAAAAAAAATAAGAACTACATTAAATAGACCAAATAAAAATACTAAATTTTCCCAAAAAGCAAATGCCCATCAGATATAATCAGTCGGTAAAACCTAAGCCTTCGATCATTAACAAACGCCAGAAAAATACCTTGATAATCGTAAAGGGAACAAAGAGGAAATAAAAAACATCCTGCCACCACGAACCTCCTAAAACAGATGGAGGCACGTCATAAAAAAAAGGTCGAGAAACTTTAATAAGAACAGGTTGGACGACATCGGAAACCTAAAAACTATATCATCAAGTGCTCAAATAGCCTGAAAAACTATTAGCAGTGACAAAAAAGTGCGTTATCACAAGTGCAAAAAACTTTTTTACCTCAAACGGCCAAGAACTAAATTTCAGCAGACCCTTTTGCCCATTCGTCATAGCGCCTTCTGGGAACGCAAGCAATGGCAGCGAATTATATTTACAAAACTCACGTGCTTTACTTACTAAAACATTACGTCCCTCTCTTGCACCAAGGTCTGCATAGCCAAGTAACCTGAAAGCCATTCAGAACTGAAATAAGCCATAAAAAACCCGTTCCCACTTCCCCGAAAGAATGCAAAATGAAAAGCTATAGCCTAGAACTTACATGCGATGAAGGATGAAGAGCAATATACGTTAAGCTACACCTAACTAATTCAATCAAAAGTGTACCATCTGAGTACATCTGGTATGTCCCAAACAGATGGGAGGATGCAAGGCTCGATCAGATCAACAGCCATATGGTCTAATGTAGTGACATGATTAGCAATGATTAGTTTTGTTTCTCGATCCCACCCTTTGGCCGGACCTCCACTGAACACAACCACTCCTAGTATACAAGACATGACTCTTAAAACCTAAAAAGTCATAATTTGATTTTGACAAAAAACGGCACTTTTCCACAAGTTCTAGGGATATAACATAATCTTTACCATTAGCATCTGTAAACATTCAAAAGACACCAAACCGTACCGCACATCTTAGAAGCATGGTTTTGCGTAGGACACAGGCAGTAAGAAATATGTGAATACCAATGCAAATACGAAAAATGAAAAGCGCAACACCAAACGGTGCATACAAAAAAAGAATGGATTTTCTTAACGGCGAAGCAGGCCACCTTTCACGATAGAATAAATCACCAATAGTAATTGATTGTCCAGTATTTAACTCTGACATATTTCTGAAAGTATAACAGTCAGTATTTTCAACGCATGTATATTTTCATTTTAAAAAGAAAATCATGTCATTATAAGTTCCAAAAATTAGAAATAAAACCAAACATCGTAAATAAAACCGATCATTGAAAATTGTAAAGCTTTTATAAAAAAAACAATGTGAGTATAATAAAAACCAGAATTTACTCGCATATAGTTTTGATACTGAAACACAGCAAAAAAAATTTAATAATTATGAAAAGATAAAAAACAAAAGTAAAAAGTAGAATAAAAATAAAACTATGTGACTTATAACCATTAAAGCAATTACAGATTCCCTTCTTGTTGCTCCTTCAACTAACGTTTATTTCACATCTTAGCAAGCAAAAAAAGAAATTTTTTTATTTCCAAGAATATTTTAAGAAAATAAAATCAAACTAAAAACAAATATGCCAAAGTAAAGGAAATAACAATAACAATAGCAATGACAATAATAATAACAACGACAATAACAGCAACAATAACAATAACAGTAACAATGTCAATAACAATAAGAATAACAATAATAATAACAATAATAATAATAATAACAATGGTAATAATAATAATAATAATAATAATAATAATAATAATAAGAAGAACCGCAAACGAGTAGCAGTAGCCGCAACGGCACTAACAGCAGTAATATCACAGTTTATGACGTTACCAGCCCTTTCGTTGTTATAAATCTGTCCTCAAACTTTTGCTGAGAAAACATGTTTCTTGGCCTGGAAAATTGCCAATGAAAAGCCGTTGTACTGGCGCCAATTTCCTCGACTAATTCGGGGACGGGGAGTGAAGACCGGGGGAGGAGGGGGGGGGCGCGGATTGAATGCGGATGAATAGCGCTGACTGTTATTTGGATGTCATTGAGGTTATTTGGTTGCCGATGTGCATCTGTGTGTTTCTTTACCTGGGAGTGTATGTATTGGTTCTATATAGTGGTTGTATTTTAGTGCGGTTTTATAATTAGTTCTTTGAAGTGTTTATTGAAATAGTTTAGCATATTTAATGGATCAATGTTATCAATTAGAAGAAAAAGAAAAAAGTGTACATTTTGTATGGACACGCAATCATTGGAAAATACTTTTTTTTACACACAATAAAGAAGTAAGGAAAAAAATAATTTGATACTGTGCTCGCTTTTATTAATCGATCTTGTGCTGCTGTAAGTTTCAAGACGCTACTGATTGCCATAAATATCTTTATTTTTTACTTTTTATTTTCCACTTTCTATCTTTTATTTTTACTTTTTATTTATTTATTTTTGTTGTTGGTGTCGTTGGTACTTCTACTGCGGCTGCTACTACTGCCCACACTGCTGTTGCTGTTGTAGTGATGTTGCGACGGCAACTGTGTGGTGAGTGCCGCATGTTATATGGTTTTTTCCCTCTCTCAGTCATAAAACTTTTTTAAAAAGCTGCTGTAATAAATCTTAAAAATTCCTGTTTGTATAACATGAGAAACAAAGCTGTAGAAGCTGCAAATAAAAAAAAAGTTTATGTGAGTCGTTGTTTATCTGTTACCTTTTGATAAGAAAGTTATTAGTTTTTTTCATTAAAACCTTTGATATACTGACAGTTGGGGTAAAATAATGTTTTTGTCGCTTTTGTTGACACCTTTTTAGAAGTTTTTATTTTGCACTTTTTTTTCCTGATTTTACATTATTTTCTGTATAAAAATAAACATTTTTTTCAAATAGTAAATTTTTTATTAAACTTATTTGGTGTTCAATTTTCTGTCGTATTATATTGTTATTGCTATTTTTTTCAAAAACTTTCACTAATTAATGGTTAGATATTCAAGTTGTAACACAGACAAAAGTCGTTTTTCAAATGACTTTATAGTTGGATTCATGGATGTAAAAAGTCGAAGTTGTTTAATTAAAGTCGTTCTCTGGTGGCGAAAGGGGTGTAGCACTGCTCAGTTACACATTGGGATTGTTATCTAACGCCTCAAAATCGGCAAATTTCCATAAACTGAGTGAGAGTTTCTATTGTATTTTAAAGTTCACATTATCTAGGACGAACTCCATAATTTACCCTATAAATACCAGTTGTTGTTCGTCTTAGGGTTTCATTTTTATTCGGTATTTTTGAATTGCCCAATGATTTTTCCAATTATTAATGACGTTGCCACAGGTGCAGATAATATACAGCCAATAAGTGCATATCTCTTTTTGATAACTCCCTAACACATCTTTAGCCATTTTGTATTTTTCTTTTCTTTTCACTTTCGTGTTTTTTGATAATTCTGTGTTGCATTAACATCAGATTTGATGTAGGCAGGCTCCTTTTGCCCTTTTTTGTATTATTTTAAGATTTTACCGGCTTTATGTGTTTTTTTTTCTTTGCTGACGTTCCACTCGTAGCAGAAAGTAACCGATGCCACTGCACTTTGTCTCATGACACTATCTTGTCTTTTGTTACTACTTTTTTTTTTTCGTGTTGAAGATGTATTTTTTCTAAGCAATCTTTTTTGACCTCGATAGAGATTTGACACCCTTGATTTTTTTTAAGCTTATTTTGGTGGTATTTAAACCTGCAGGAGTCAAAATGAGCGTCAATTCCTTCGAAAATGAAAGGCGTCGAGTTGCTCATCGATCAGCTGCTGCTTCTGTTCAACTAATGAAAGACTTGGCTTTTAAGAAGCAGTCATTAAGCCAGGTTATTTATTTGCTTATTCATTTCTCTATTTTCTTATATTTATTTATTTATCAGTCACAACCCAGAATTTGCGATTTTTTTGATAAACACCTAGACTAAAGGTTAGCTTTTTTTGCCCAGTAATATTTTTTACTGCACATTTTTCATGTTTTTTAAGTATCACAACTTGTCTTGAAAAAGTGGCGTGTGAAGTGAATATGTTAATTTTTGGCTTTGTTTAAGTTCCTGAAATGACACAAGTTTGTTCTTTTTAGATGGTTAATCGCCTAGCTTCAAAAAAACGTGATAAAGGTGGCAAAAAAGAAAATCGGTTTTGTGATTTAATGAAAGGTAAGCGGTGAGAATACGTTCTTACCGTAAACTGTTGTTTATTGGTACTCTAAGAAAAATCCTATACACTTTTTTTTGTTTTATTGGTAGTTCACCTTCAAGAGTGGTTTTCTTTTCCATTTTGATTTTCAGGCAGATCACAAGGTTTACGTTCTCGTCCGCGCAAAGTGGTTTCATCTGATGAAGAAGAAGAGTTTTCGGATGAGATTTTTGAAGATGAAGAAGGAATTGACGATGAGTCGTTCGATGAAGATTTGGAAGAAAATATTAAAAAAGAGAGCTCTCCCTCATCAATTTCCTCGTCATTTAATGATAACAATATGGCTGCCCAAGCGGACCACATACAAGAGTATGATGTTCTCATTATTTTATATTTTCAAGTAAACGGTTTTTACTGAATTCGTTTTAGTTCGGATTCCTCGCCTTCACAACCCGTAAGTGAATTGATCCGAAGTGTACCGACGGGTAGCACTTCTTGGCTCTGTAAGCCTCGCTTGAGCAATGTTCCTCCAATTAAACCTCAGAAATCATTTAACAGTATTCGAAGGAAACGTGCTGTGATATCGTCGAGTGATGAAGAAGAGGAAGATATTGACAAAAAGGTCTTTCTTGCACAGCTTCAAAAAATACTTTTTAAACAAGGACAAAGCTGTATTACTCAGTTTAATTAAGGCTCCTGTAAGCTTGAAACTCAATGTAAGACGCGTGAAGCGGCTGAAAAAGGACGCTCGTCTCAGCGACGAAAGTGATGCTGTGGAGTCCGAAGGGTCTGCACATTTAGCCGAAAGCAGTGACAGTGATGACAGTACGGTATGTTATTTTTCGAAGCTAGTTGTATATTTTTTTGTAAACGGTAAGAGTTGTTAATATCTGAGGCAAAGTGGAGAGTTTTTTTGAATCTTCTTGAGCTTACTCATGTTAGCGTTGCCGCGGAAAGCACGAATGCTCTAGCGATACAATTGGAGGGTCGTGCGTTAAGTTTTTTAATGTTGCAACGCGTGAAAAGCTTATGGATGCTCCCCGAATGACAGAAAAAGTTGCTGACTATATCATTAACAGTAGGCCATTTACGGACTATCAGGACTTGGTATGTAAAAATAGTTTATGAATGATTCAGCAAATTTTCTTTTTAGTGTTTTTGCCTAAACTGTGGTGTTAATGTCATATTTTGAATTTATAACTATTCAGCTGTTTTAGCATGATCGCCTTTCATGCTGCCCACGTGGTTCAACAGTTACCGAATCATACCTGGAGTATTTGGAGAACAGAGGTATTTTAGAAAGGATCCTTGATGATTGTCGTACACATTCAAAGTTAATGCAGGAGGCTCTTGAAGGCACTGACTCAAAGCAGCTGCTTATTCAACCGAAGCTTTTGACGAAAGAGTACGTTTGATCGACATTAACTCAGTGGAAAGATTTCCGAGTGAATTATTTTCCATTCTTTCAGTTGCGTACTTCATGAATATCAGTTGCTTGGACTAAATTGGCTTATTATGATGCACAAGTTGAAACTCAACGCTATTCTTGGCGACGAAATGGTCTGCATATTTAGTTTTTAGTTAAAAAATTTTATTCGTAGGCGCATAATCTGTTTTAGGGCCTAGGCAAAACTATTCAAGTTATTGCATTCTTGGCTTATTTAAAAGAGGTTGGTACACGTGGTCCGCACCTCGTTGTATGCCCTTCTTCCACTATTGAGAACTGGATGGTAGAGTTGGCTAAATGGGCTCCATGTATTAACGTTCTTACATATTACGGAAGTATTGAGGATCGAATGAGGCTTCGTGCCATGGCAACTGATACATCTGTCAGCATCAGAAGTTTTATTTAATTCTTTTTATTTTCTAGTTTTGGTGTCTTATATTGTGTATTTCAGGTTGATTTACTTCTTACAACTTATAATATGATCGGTTCAAGACCTGAAGACAGGAAGTTCTTCAAAAGGTTTAAGATAAATTATGCGATTTATGATGAAGGTCACTTATTAAAAAACTGCACCACTCAGCGGTATAAGAACCTTATGAAAGTTCGCGTACGAACTCTATATGTTAAATTAACCATGATATCTTTTTGTTTTCAGCTTCAAGAGTTTACATTTTTTTCCCAGTATACTGCACGTTTTGATTTTCAAAGCGTTTAGGGCGAAAGGAAAATTTTGATGACTGGGACGCCGTTACAAAATAACTTGATTGAGCTGATTTCTTTAATGTATTTTACAATGACCAAGCTTTTTACGGAGTACTGTGATGATATTACGCAACTTTTGCAACAGTTCCAACAGGTCTCAAATTATTTTATTTTACTTTCTTTACCATTTCTTTATTGCTGGTCTTCCCCTCGTTTTCCGAGAAATTTTTTTTAAATTGGCTTTGTATGAGCTTATTCGTGTTTGGGGACATGCTTTTAGTACTGAGCTGTAGTCTTTTTGTTCTATTTTGTTACGAAATATTATATTTTGGTAACATGAATTTTAGGACTAAGTTTTTTGATTTCTTTTTGGTAATAAAGTTTTATCTTTATTATTATTATTACTGTTACTATTACTATTACCAGTATTACTATTGTTATTGTTGGCAGAAGTATTGTTATTGTTATTGGTTACCCGTTATCACCTGTTTCAGAAAATGCCAGCTTTAACTGCAAAGTCAGGTTCGTTGTTCGGAGCAGATAAGATTGAACAAGCAAAGGCTATATTACAACCGTACATACTGCGTCGCCTTAAATCGAACGTGTGAAGTTTTGCTAACCACTCATCATTTAATTTTTTTGATGGTGGAACCTGGTTTTCTTTTGAGTCGCTTCGGTACCCTGTCTTTTTCACAGGTGCTTGGTTGTTTGCCCAAGAAGCACGAGAAGGTAATATGCTGTGAAATGATTGAAGCACAAAAAAGAATATATAGTAACTTGCTCCGGCAATTTCGTGAAGTAGTTAGCGGTGAAATAGCAGCTTCGAGTAGACTGATGCAATTGCGGCAAGTGTCAAACCATCCTTTGTTGTACAGAAGTCACTACACGGATGATTTGGTCATTCAGATTGGAAAGGTGTTGTGTAAAGAGGTTATTTTTATTATATACTTTTGCAATGACCCCGATTGACAGATGCCTTTTTCTTTTGTTGATGTTTTTGTGCCTACCGCTTATTAATCGTTTTTGTAAATTTTGGCTTTTATTAAAGGAGGATGATTACTCAAAGAAGAATCCAGATTATGTGGCTGAAGATTTGGCTTTTATGTCAGATTTCGCAATTAGTCAGCTTTGTTCAAAGTACCACTCAACTCAGAAGTATTGTCTCGATGGGGATATTGCGTTAGAGTCTGGGAAGTTCAAAGAGCTTGATAAGATCCTCCCTCAAGTCAAAGAAAAAGTTGGTCTTTGGTCGCAGTTTTTTTTTCTTCATTCTGCTCATTATGTCATGGTTTAGGGCGACAAGGTTTTGATCTTCAGTCAGTTTACTACTATGTTAGATATTCTGGAGGTCTATCTCCGAATACGTGGTCATAAATATTGTAGACTTGATGGATCTACTCCAGTTATGGAAAGGTAATAGGTTTCATATCTTTAATGCCTATCTAAGCTTTTACACCTCATATAATGTTTAAGGCAGGAACTGATTAACACATTTAACCTTTCGGACGACATTTTTGCATTTTTACTCTCTACAAAGGCAGGAGGGATGGGCATCAATCTGGCGGCAGCAAACCATATAATTTTACACGATATCGACTTTAATCCTTACAATGACAAACAAGCGGAAGATCGGTGTCATCGTATGGGTCAAGTAAAGTATGATATACTAATTTTTCAGAAGTTAACATGTAATTATTGTTTAGTTAAAATATGCTGCTTTTCGGAGCTGCAGTTATCGAAAAGTATAAAATCCTGAATTTTTTTTGTGTTTTCTTAATTTGCTCTGTTCTTTATGTTTATTACAGGGAAGTTTATGTTACTCGGTTTGTGTCTGCTGGTACTGTAGAAGAAGCAATGCTTAGTTTGGCAGAAAAGAAACTCGAATTAGAAAAAGAAATAACTGGAGAAGGGATGGCAAATGGTAGTACTTTTTTTCTATTACTTTCTTTATCTTGGTTTTTGCGTTTGAAGGGGTCCATTTATAATGTATCATCTCCAGCTTTCATGAAAATTAATTTTTTAAGATGCCGAGGATGGTCAAATTGTGGAGCAGCTTCTAAAGAAAGCCTTAGCTTCTTGATTTTGATATTGGTTTGCAGCAAAGGCACTACAGTATTCTCCTCAATTGAACTTTAGGGATGGTATACTTGAATAATAATTGGATTGTTACTTAATGTTGACTTCTCAATTATTTACTTAGTCAAATTTGGTAAGCCCAGCTCAATGAAATGCAGAGCAGTTGAGGAATGAGTGCGTTTTTTATTTCTCATTTTATTTGCATTTCAGCCGTGTCAGTCTCGCGTTTTTTATTTTGCAGGGTCATTGTTTAGAAACTTATTTTTTCCAGTCAATTTGGAGGTGGTGCTTTTTGGGAAGAGGAGGAAAAATGTCGGCTTTATGTGAGTGATTTTGTTGAACAGCTTAAGTTGTTTCGTTCAAAAAAAGTTGTAATTTCGTAGGGAGGAGAGTTGCGTTTATGGTTTATATGGCGAGAAAAGTCCATCTATCTAGCCTTTGCCGGTTTTCTTTTTTCTGAAGGCCAAAAAAGTCATTGGTTCATGGGTTACGGAAATGTGGTGAGAACACGTATAAGGCACTTTTGAAGTCCGCTTTACAAGCTCGTCTAAAATTAGCCTATTCCAAGGGAAATCTATCTCGTCCAAACCTGAAGTATTTGGAGCCGGCTCACCAAAGCACTTTATACGCTTTTCAATCAAATTTCTGCAACTCGTTGAAGACTGTACCTTTTTTTAGTCTTTGAAATAACGGGAGAATAGGCGGGTCCAAGTTGTATTTGTATATTCAATGTACAGCTCTCCCAAATTATCAAGTTCTTTTGGATTTAGTGATGAAGACAGTGGGAAATTGCTGTCAAATGGAGTTTTTAGGAGTCTCAGTTACTAACGGAAGGGTAAATCCAATTGTTTTAAATTTTCTCAACTTATTTCGTTGGCGAGCTCACCGCTGCAGGTCATACGACTTACAGCGCTTGTTACATTATATATTTCTTGGTTATTATGTTTGATTAGGTATTGGTTTAGCAGATTGGGTTAAAGTTGTGATCTACGTCCAAGTTGTTTAAATTAGCCTGTTGTTTCGCTTCTAATCCTTTTGAAATTGGTTGTCTGTAAAGTGGTATTATGTGCGGTAACTCGTTGCTTTCAGATTGAATGGTTTTTGGACCGATACAGGTCATTTATTTGTACAAGTCTGCCTGTTTTCGCTTTCCACTCTTTACTCGTCTTTTTTGTTCAAGTTCATGTTATTTCAATGTACATTTTAAGGTATAATATTAACGTACCTTATAACCGTACTGGTTTTTGTGTGCGCGCAATTAATTAGTTCTGGAGAAAACAGCAACCGACGAGCACCTGGCTGTCAAGCCTCTCAAGCGCATGCGACGGTTCGTTGCAGCGTTTTTGAAAATCCCGCAGCCCCTTTATTTTTAATTTCTGATGACAAGATAGTCCCGAAAGCTTACAATGAAAGCAGTGAATCACAGACAGGTTGTCGATGTACTAAAAATATGATGTACAAGTAAGGCACGTATATATACACTACTAGAACAACTCCTGACCCAAGTCCCAAATGTCAGAACGCAGGTAGTCAGTGTTCGGCAAGCGGCTCACATTGACCCTGACGCTACAAGGTGAGATTTTAACAAGTTCGCAACAAAATTAGAGCTCAGAAGACGAGTATTACATGAACAGTGAGGGCTATAAAAGACTAATGAGGAACGAAAAGTAACATGAGACCAGGCCCACTACAAATTACAAATACCACTATCAACTACATATCGGAGACGATGACTGACAGTACGTACACATGCAGCAACAAAATCGCATTTCGCTATTTTCAGAAAATTTCGTTCAAAATTTTCCAATTTTAACCAAAACTTGGGTGCCGCACGAACAAACAACTAATACTGGTTTATATACATAAGAATATGTCTCTTCATCCTCATTCAGTTCACGGCAAAAATGCTAGCAGAGACACCGATGCATTTGGCGCTTCCAATATGACAGATTTAAATACACCGAAATAAACTCCATTCCCAGTGACTTTGCTGAAGGGCTCTACAAATGGCCCAGTTCCCAGTAAAATAATAGAATTCCGGGAGACGAAGTATGACCACAGACACCGATTTTAAAGCGATAGCAAGTTTCACATATGAAAAAATGACACGCAGCTGCCTCAATGGATTTGTGGGGCAGGTGGGCCTCCGCCGTTCTAAAGAATGTGGTGATAATCAATAATAATGACATCCCAAAAAGATAACTATATTTCATGCAAAAGATTAAAAAAAGCTAGAAGAGTTGAAGCAACTTACATTTCTGGGCCCAGGACCAGGTTTTTCAAACGATTCCGGTTGTCTATTACGCATTGAATTAGGTCGTAGATAGTATAAAGCCAATGCCAAAACACCCCATATAAGGAGTATTAACAAAAGATTATTGCCTTGTAATAGTCCATTGCCTTCTAACCCGGGACCCTCACGAAGACATTCTGAATCAGTGCAGTAGCCTTGTGAATCTCTAAGCTGCAAAAGTTTCCGTCATTGTCCAAGTACACAAAAAAATGAATTTGAATAATATTTAGCCCATTAAAAACTTAAAGCACTAGTTTCCAAAATTTAGCGATTAAAGAGACAACTGTGTGTGCAGCATGAGACAGTAACAAAATTTACTTTATCTGCGGTACCAAACCAACTGTGAAGACCAAAAACAGCCGGCCTTCAACTGTACTTTAAAATCATTCACTTTACTTCCCACTTCCATCAAATTATAAAAGTTAAACGCTAATTCACCATATGAATAAAAGCAACTTTGCATCGCCACGTTGATCAAAGTAATCCCGACTCTTCTGTTCACACAATGAGCCGAATAAACACATATTTTTTAAAAAGCACAAAAGAAGAAAAAACTGCATCAAGCAAAGAATATAAACAACAAAAATAAATTAAAATGTTTCAAAACAGTTCAAATTACAAGATAAAATGCCTTGCATATGCCAAACTTGACAGTTTTAAAAGATAATGTGAAGAAGAATGATTGTTTAAAAAGAAAGTCTCAAAATCAGTATAAAAATAGATAACAGCGCCATTAGAAAATGAAGAATATGGAAATAAAAAAAATCTTACCAGAGATAACAAACGCCTCATTGCAGCTTCATGATTAAACAAACATTCGCAGTGATCACTCATTCTTATCCGGTGTAACCTACAACAAGAATAATAAATACCAGACACTTTCAAACGTTTGGAAGTAAATTTAACTGACGGCAGGGAAATTTTAAATGTTATATATATATATATATATATATATATATATAT